ATATGTATATATATTCACAGCCTGGACCCGCAGACTGAGGGAGCTGTGGGTTGCCAGCCAGGTGACCATGTCTTTAACACCTCCGAGGGACCATGCTTTGTCTCACTAAGACCTTCTCTCTGTCCTTTCCAGGTCCGGGAGATGCTGCGCATGAGGGACTCCAACGGGGCCAGGATGCTGACCTTGATAACGGAGCAGTTCATGGCCGATCCTCGGCTCTCCCTCTGGAGGCAGCAGGGGACAGGCATAAGGCAGCTCTGGGATGAGCTGGGTAAGGGTCACCGCCTTGCAGAGAGCAGCATCAGGGTTGCCTGGGCTGCTGGACCGGCAGACATCATCCCAGAGGTCTTTCGGGCTCTTCTGGGGGCAGAGGCCCTTAGAGATGCCAGGAGCTTACTCTTTTTCCCTGCTGGGGAAATCCTGGTGGGACAGCTGGATCAGGTGCAAACTACGCAGTTCAACACCTGAAACCAGCTGCTGTCCTGCGAAGGGGATGACGATGGGTGTGCAGAGTGTGGCTGGTCCAATACTTGCAGCAGCCTGGTGTTTGATGTGCTGCCCTAAAACCTTTGCGAGGAAGGACACAGGGGCTGGTACTCTTTTTCCCTGCTGGGGAAATCCTGGTGGGACAGCTGGATCAGGTGCAAACTACGCAGTTCAACACCTGAAACCAGCTGCTGTCCTGCGAAGGGGATGACGATGGGTGTGCAGAGTGTGGCTGGTCCAATACTTGCAGCAGCCTGGTGTTTGATGTGCTGCCCTAAAACCTTTGCGAGGAAGGACACAGGGGCTGGTGAGCCCCAGGGGCTGGACCTAGCCTGGATGTGGAAGTGCTTTTCCTGGAGGAGCTGTGATCCAGAGGGGAAAAGCAGGTTCTCAAGTCTCATCCCGTCTAACAGATTTCAGCCTGCTCTGATGCACATTTCCAGGGTGAGGGGGGCAGGATGGCCAGCACAGAGCCTGGCTTTAAGGGAAATGCAGTTCTGGGTAATTCTAGCTAAGCACCTTAGACACCGGCTCAGCTGGCTGACACCGTAATATCATTAGAATAAAACATTTAGATGACGTGGGCCCAGGGAGGTTGGTTGTGTGGTGGAGTTAATCCAGCAGTTCTGGGCTCTCCTGGACATCTGGGATCTTGGGTGAACGGTTTGACTTGTGCCATAGTTTTATGAGTGAGTTTGAGCTTCTCTGCAGCCTGCTGGTAGGAGATGCTGTGTAAGGGCAAGGGCTTGTGGGCTGAGACCAAAGGGATGTTGTAGAGCTGGAAGAAGGATGAGGGTGGTCCAGGGTCTGGAGCACCTGAAACTGCAGCTGGGACCCTCCTTCCAAGTGCCCAAGAAATGCAAACATAGCCACGAGCCTGGCCAAACTGTGCAGAGGAGAGCTGGGCAGGGCCAGAGTGTCTTGCTTCTGTGTGAAGTTCCCTGGATGGAAGTAATCACACCGGCTCTGGAGAGCTCATCTGTGCTTGCTTGCCAAGAAGATGTGTTCAGGATTTCAGGATGCTGCAGCGAGATGGTTGGATATGCAAGGATCCTGGAGAGGTGGCCAAAGCCACCATGCCAGAATTTCTGCATGGAAGAAAGCAAACACATTAGTGAAACGTGGATGGCTGGGTGTCTGAGCAGGCCTGGACGCAGGAAGCAATATGCCCAGAATTACAGATTATTTGGCCAGATTTCAAACCCTCTATCCAAGCCGAGAACCCTCCTTCCCTTCCTGCACACACGAGGGGGGAGTGGTTGGGTTTCAGTCATGGCTTAACTGTGCAAGGACCGGGTTGGTGCCCGTAGTTTTGGTCAGAAGAGTGGGAGGAGGCAACGGCACATCCCCATCAGCAGATGGCAAGGTGGCTAAGGAACGTCAGAGCCCTACCAAGGCTGGATCAGTGTGACAGCAGGTGAAGCGTGGTGCCAGCCAGCGCACGTCAGAGCAAGCGGCTCACCTGGTGTAGGCACGTCACGCGGGAGGGATTTGGGCATCTCCATGCTGAGGAGAAGCCCCTGCGGAGGACACGGCGATGGTCCAAGAAGCGGCTCCAGGGCAGGATGGGTATGGGCTATACTTAGAGCAGGGATTATTCCCCTCATTTTAGAGAAGCTTTTTGGATTTGGCCGTGGGCAGGGTTTTTTGTAGGAACAGAGCATCCCTCTGAAGGGAGTGGAGGCACGGAGGGACCGGAGCTGCAGTAGGTTGGTGGTGTTCACCAGTAACAAACATCAGAGAGGCAGAGAGATGTCCCAAACCATCACTGGGCAGGTAATGGTAACTGGGGCGTGTGGGGCAGTGAAGGCACGTTGTCCAACTGCCTGCAGGCTGCCGATGCCAGAGCTGCCCGGCGTTACCGCTGCTGCCAAAGGGAGGGATGAGGGGCCCGTTGCCAGCTGCCACGGGAAGCACTGCCACAGACTGCATTCCCCTGCCACATGGAAGAGAAAAATGGGCCTCGCAGAAATTATTTTGGGCACGTGTTTAATAATTAATCATCGATTTTAGCAAAGACTGCATCACAGACTTGCGTGGGATTGGAAGAAGATCAGCCTTAAAGAAGATTGTGGATTTATACTGGGGAAAATGTAAAGGATTTTGCAGGATTTCAGAGGGTTTTTTTTTTTAAAAAAAAAAAAAATGCTAAGGGGGTTTTTTTTTAAAAAAAAAAAAAAAAGTCATCGTTTGCTTGTGCATGTGCTGCCAACTGAACGTCTATTGCCCCGTCTGCTGGGGAGCCAAAGGAAAGACCTGCTGGATGGAGAGCTCTGTGGCGTGGGAGTACTTACGATTAAAGCCTAATTACAAAAAATAGACGAAAAACCAGCTGAAGTGCAGCCTGACCTTAATCTGCCTGGAGACGGGTTTATTTATCTCGGCCACTTGTTTACAGTGGCGAATTTCAGCAGATTAAGCCGGGGAGCGACCCTGTGGGAAATGGGAGAATTTCTTTGATGGTTTAGAAACTTGGGCGCGGGATCGGAGCGCCTGTCCTCTCCGGGGCCAGCAGCCGGGACCGCTGGGCTGGGAAGGCTCTGACCCCCCCGTCCCTGCACCCAGCCCCATCATCAAAAAGCATTTTTGTTTAGAGGCTTAGCTTAATCGTGATCTGCCGCTTTGTTCCCCGCTTAACCTCCTGCTATCGGAAAGTTCAGATGAAGATTTCTGCACCATGTGAACAGACGTGGAGTCTGACCCAGCGTGGCGTTTCGGCTCAGGACAGGAGTCACTTGTGCTGTCAGCTGATGTCACTTGACCATAGGGCTCTGAAAACCCCTCTTTTCCATCTCCCAGATAACTATCGCAGCCGAGAGAGATGCGAATCCCTCTTCCCTCCTTGTCCCCACCTCCCCGCCACATCTTCCCTTCTGCAAGAGAGCCCGGGGCACAGTGTTTTGGCAGGCGAAGGATGCCTCGGATGGCTCCCAAAAGTAGGCTGCAAAGTCATGAGGCTTCAGAGGATCGCATCTTAGCTGAGCTGTGGGAGCCAAAAAAATCCAGCGGGCGCATCCCATTTCTGGGGGCGGCAGAGCCGGAGCACCAAGCCTCGGTACCGGCTGAATTGCTGAAGGCTGCTTTTTGCATAAGCAGCTCCAGAGCAGGCGAAGAGGGGCAATGACCACAGGCGGGAGCGCTGGTGGGAAGGGGATGCTCGAAACCAGTCGGAGTCCTGGGATGCCCAATACCAGGAGCAGAGGGCAGGATTTAGCTCATGCCCACCTGAGGCGGTGGGGAGTTTTATGCCCTTGGGGTGGCAGCAGGCAGGCACCCACCCCTCAGCTGTGGCAGTGACCAGAGCTTAAGGAAGACCCATTTTCTGGAGTTGAGACCTGCTTTTTTACAAAAACACCGTGTCTGTGCAGCCCTCGTGGAGCCTGCAGGAGCCTGGGAGTGAGTGACATAGACCTGCTCTGGGAGAGATGGGACCCTAAAACCCTTAAGGAGATGGCTCTTCTCCTGCACGTGCATTAGTCACGACTGTTGCAGCTCAAAAGTCTTATTTCGCTCCTGTTCATCAGGAAGGAGCGAGGTTTCGGTGCAGTTTCCTGGGAGCCGCAGAGCTGACACACGGATGGAGTTGGACCGGGCAAGTGCTGCTTTGAGTATTTGCTGATCTTCAGTGTCTGTGGTTGCTTTTCCCATGCCCGTGTTCCTGGATACGATGCTGCTGCCACCATCTGCGTTGTGACGCCATGACGTCTCTCCTGCCAAGCCAAGCTGCTGCAAGGAGCCAGACGTGCACAGCCTCCACACCTTATTAATGATTTGAACCAATCATGTCCACAAGTCCCAACTGGCAGAGGACAAGTCCCAGGAGATGCAACCCAAAAGCACCACCAAAGCTCAGCTCTAACCCAGAGGAGCAGGGAGACACCAGAGCGGAGCCACAGTCAGGACGTTGCTGCTCAGCCTGGTTTTGCCTCATGTTGCCAGGAAATGGACCGGCTGCTCCGGCTGCCTGTGTCGGAGTCGCAGCCTCGCTCAGGGCTGTTTGGCTCAACGGTGTGGCCGTGCAGCTGGGGAGCTGCCGCACAAAACGCAGCGAGCAGGGGAGATGGTTTGGGCATGTGGAGGAATTCCCCTCACCGTGCAGCGGAACCGTGTCCAGGTGGTGATGTCCTGCTGCTGGCTGTCGCTTTGGGATGGGAACTTTGGCTCTGGATGGAGAGGTGGGGGAGAGCAGCTGGCTGGTGGGGAGAAGGAAGGTGCTCCGGGTCTCTGCTGGGCCCATGGAGGAGGGACGGGGCGGGGGGTGTTTCTGTGGGGGGCTGAGCTGTCCCACGTGTGTGGCAGGATCGGCCACGGGCAGAGAGAGGAGCAGCGTGGGCTGCTCAGCCCGGGGGGATCCCCGGGGACACCGTGCACCGCAGCTGTGCCAGCACGCAGCCATCCCACCCCGCGGGGCAGGCACGAGGGAGGGGACACGCCATATCCTGGCAGTCTTGCAGGGAAATTTGAGCAGAAATGTGATTTACTAAAGGTGAATTCACAGATTTGCACTTATTTGGGTTGCTGCAGCCCTTTTCAGAGCAGTGAGTGACCCAGGAGAGTTGGCAAGGCTCGGCTAGCAGCACCAACGTCAGCCCCGTCTTATGAAAGGGTGAATTGGATCTTAATGACAACAGATGTCCTTGGGCCTGGTTTTGCCTCTCATGCAGCAGACAGCCCCCGTTGAGGTCCCGTGGTTGACCTGGAGGGTGTCAGCATGGGTGTCCTACTGATGGACACCTCTGCTTGCGAGATCTGGAGAGCTCACACCTTGGAGGGCTCTTGCCTGTGAGACATCAAGCCAAGCTCCAGGTTCCTCTGCTGGTTCCTCTGCAGGCTGGGGGCTACTGGGGATTAAAAAAGAAAAAGGAAAAAAAAAAAAAAGAGGGCGGGGGGGAGAAAATACACCAAATCTCCTTTTTAAATAGTTGAATGCAAATGGCCTGAAGAACAATGGCAGATGAAATAGTATTCAGAGCAGGCTTTAAAGCGCTTGGAACGTGGGTAGGATCAAAATCAGGTTAGTCTTTGGAGATACAGACTCTGCAGCTTGCCAGGGTGTTTTTAAGCGTGCTTTGATGTGTAGTTCAAACACTAGATTTGTCCTGGCAGACAGAAGCACTCACAAATTCATACACAGCCACTCTCTCCTTCCCTCCTCCCCACTGTCCCCCATCTCATGAGATTATAATTTAGCTTCATTACAGAGGAGTTTTACTTTTATTTAAAAGCTGTCTAAATCCCCCTCCTGGGTCCGTGCATTATGTTGAAATGAGTTTACGAATGCCGATGAAACCTCGCAGGCTCTCACGACGAGCACGGCAGCAGAAGAGCTTTGCCCCACGGGTATGGTGGTGGCACCTCCTTGATTTCTTGGCTTTGTTTAGGGGCGCTGTGGGTGTGCGTGGTGTTAAACCCACACTGCAAGCTGGAAGAGAAATCCTGCTGGCTCCGGCAGCTGCGCAAGTGGGGTGAGATGGACGTCTGTCCCCTGGAAGATGGCAATTACGGTAACGAGCTTCCCAACATCACCAATGCGCTTACGCAGAGCTCCGGTCACAGCCAAGGTGAGTCTGGCAGGGAGTGGAAGTCCGGCCGGTGGCCACAGGGGTTGGGTCTGGGTCAAAACTCACCCCAAAGTTGAGACACCTCAATTCACCTGCTGGCGATGTCTCCGGGAGTCATGGGAATACGAAACATTTCTCTTTACAGCCTCTGGTTTTACATACACTTGGACATGTTTGGCTCTTTGCTACATCTTGGGTGAAGTCACCTGTACTTTGAGCATGAAATTAGAGGCCATTTTAAAGCAATTTGACCTTGGGGGAGTTTAGACTCCTATGGTCTGCACAGGGTTTGGGTATGGAGTTTTACAGAAAACCGGTGCTGCATGAATCCGGGCAGAGCAGATCTTGGAAGCTCTGTCTGTACTGTCAGAGTCAGGAGTTAAGAGATGATGCAGAGCCCCTTTCCCAGCCCTTGAGCCTGCTTATGGGCTTTGATTCAGGTGGTAGATAAGTCATTAGCCAGGAGTTAAATGTAGTTCAAGTGCAGAGCACAAACGGAGCAATGTAGTTATGGGGTTGTTCCTTCGTGCTAAAATACTTTCTCAACCCCTGACAAAGCATTTGATCCTTTTAAATTTAAACACCCCCTTCCTTTTGCCTGAAGTAGACATTAATTGAAAGTTACTGCTCTTACCGTGCCTCCATCTGCTGCAGTGGAATTGCTCTTTGGTGTATTATGTGTGGCCAAAGTGGAAGAGGAGAGGGGACGGCAGCCGTGCCGTGAAGGAAACTTCACTCTTCTGGGTGGGATTAGTCCCTGGGCAGCGGTTCGGGAGCGTGACTGTCCTGCCAGCCCACCCCAGCCACGGCCAGGACCACACACCCCATGCTGTGCCTCCCTGTGCGCATCCTCGGGGAGCAGCTTAATTTAAACCTGGCCTTGCTCCATGTCCTGCGCCAGCCCCGGGACTCCCCCTTGGTGTTCCCAGCTCGGCCGAGGATTCACTCTGGCATTTGGAGCAGGTTGCCGGGGGCTGAGCAGGTCACTTTTTTTAGACATGCGGGGAGTTTCCGAAGCACATGCCGGGGGCGTCCCCTTGTCCCCAGCGCCTCTCCGAGCAGGCGACTGAAAGCAGCACAGATCCTGGAGCTGTCCCGGGGTTAATGGTTGTGCATATGCAAATGCTGCTGCAGATTGTTGCCAGCCTCCTTTGTTACTGAAGGAGAACAGATGATTCCTGAAATCCTTCCTGGTAAAGTGAGCAGGCTTGGTTCTCTACATATGAACACCTGTTTAATTTCTCTCCACCTCGGGGTGCCCGCAGCATTCAGGCTAATTGCTTGTTGCCATCGTTTCCGGAGCGTGTTTATCCAGCCTCCCTGGATCAGCTTTGAGCAGTGTCTTTTGTTTTCCCCCCCGAATGCATTTAACTCGGCCTGTCTTGTGGGTTGCAGGACCTAACGGTCAGCGTTGCATCCCCTTTGGGGCTTCCCGTTTTGCAACCCGCCGGCTGTGTTTGGCCCTTGTGATCCAGCGTGGCTGGAGCAATAGTGGGATTGCTCCGGACAGGCCTTTTCCTCCCAAAAAATCACTTGTCTGATCTGTCTGGACAGAGCGAAATGCTCATCCAGCATCCGATAGCTTCAGAAATGTCAGTGAAGTTACAGAGCGGCTCTGAAGAGGAGCACAGACATCTGCTGCAGAGCAGCGGTGGGGTTTCAGATGATGCCGTCTCCTCTCTCCCACCCCTCTCACACAGCCAGAGGAGGTTGCTGGAAGGCAATGGTTCCCCCCATTGCCCGGAGGCAGATGAGACACACTTCTGCGGTTTCCTTGGTGGCTTCACATGCTGCTGATCTAAGCAGCTGTGGTTCAGCAAAGCCAGGACTTTGTGTTGGAGTGGAAGCGGAGAGCTCGTGGTGCTTGCGGGGCAGTAGCACTGAGGAAGCCCAGTCCTGACCCCTGGCAGCTGCCTGCACACTGAGCATCACAGGGGTGGGGATGCACTGCCACGTTTGAAGGCATCAGCTTCATGTGTGACAGTGGATTATTGTCAGAAAGCAGGCGGACAGTCCCTGCCTCTTTTCTCACCTCTCTGGCCAAGGCAGCTATTCTAGCAAGTTACTTAGCAATGCTGTCTAAGGAGACAGCAGCCTCCATCAGAGTCGGCGTGGGCAGCAGAGGTGACTAAAGGCATCTGCCGCAGTGCAGGAGCCAGAGCCCCTGTGCTCAGCTCGGAAAGGGCTGGGATGGGACCAGCTGGGGCTTTGATCTCATCGTAAAGATGTTGCTCTGCCCAGGGAGGTCATGTCTGGGGGCAGGAACAGGCTGCGCTGATGGTTCTTCTCTTTGCAGACTCGCTGGCCAGGCCCAGACGAACTGTGTTCACCCGGGCGATCGAGGGCTGTGACCTCCACTGGCAGGACAGCCACCTGCAGCGCATCATTAGCAGTGACTTCTACGTATCTCCTTCCTACCAGCGGGAGGGTGAGAGCCTCCTCTTCAACTCCCAGGGGCAGCCGCTGTGGCTAGGTGAGCATCCAAACCAGCAGCCCTTGCATGGCCCGGGTGGGTAGCGTTGCTAGTGAAGAGCCACCCAAGGCATCAAAGAAGCTTTGCTACCCTGGTCCTTGAAAGCTTCTGCATCCTAGATTGAAAGTGCTTCCCTGGCCCTTAGCCTGAGGAGTAGGGCGAGCAGAAGAACTTGATGCCCTCCCCCACCCCAGCCACAATCCTTAGAGCAAGCCCCACATCGTTACGGTCTGGGTTCCCCTTGGGCAGCTTGGACCAGGCTCGTTGCGTCCTCTTTCATCCTGGCAGTGTTTGGCTGTCCCCAGTGCAAGCTCTCACTGTTCCCAGTCCAGGGGGACTGGATGCTTAAAGTCCCTTGAGAGTTGGCTGGGAAGCACAGCTGTATCCTCTGGATGTTTTTCTTCCTCGCTCTCACCCTCTCTTCAGTCTTCCCTTGAAGGCGATTAGCAGACAGTACAATAAGCCTTGTATGAGGCTTACTGGCATGCTGGACCAGTCAAGCCCAGTATCCTGCTGTGTGGTAGACATTTAGTCCATGTACACAACCACACAACTCTACTGCAAAGTCATGACCCCGGGCAGACCTGCAGACCCTTGACAACTGCGTGTCTGGGATGAGAATGAGTGAGACAAAGGGCTTGGGGTGTGCCTGGTGTGGCTGTCAGCCCTAGACTGTGACCCCCAGCTGGGAGACGCTCCCCAAATGGGAGCAGGAGAGCACATTTCTACGCTGGGAAGGGTTTTGTGTAGCTGCAGGCAGCAGGTTGCCTCCCTGCACAGCCATAGGCAGTGGTGGTGGGTTAGTTCTTCCATGGACTCCATCTAGCAGGGACGTGGTGGCCATAGCTCCCCTGTCCCTAGCATAATCTGGGTTCTGTTGAGCCCTTTGGCCCAGCTGGTTGGTGCATGTGATTTTTTTTTTCCTGATGTATTTGCCGTGATTTTTGGATTTTGCGCTTTCGCTTTCTTGGCACCCCTTCAGGGACTCAGTGCTGGGAGAGGAGTGTGATTTGTCAGCAACTTCCAGTGATAAATTCAGCGAGAAGCTGAATATTTCATCCATTTAGCAAATGAATAGAGGGAACAGCAAGAAGCTCTTTTACAGATGTGTTTGTTCTGAAACCTCTTCCTCATGTGTTCTTTGTGAGTGACCTTTGGGACGTGGAAACCCCATTTGTGGAGGTGGTTGTCTGCATTTCCAAAGCTTTCTGAGCTCTTCCAGGAATAGAAATTATCCCTCTACCACAATTTTAGATCTTCTGTGTTTGACTTCCCCCCACCCACCGCCACCGCCCTTGATAGGACATTTTGCAAGAAAATGGGATTTTTTGCTGCTTGTTATGCAGCATGTCATGTCATCTGCTCCTGCTAATTTCTCACTCAGTCATAATCCTCTCCACAGTTGCTTGTGATTTCAGGTGAGCAATGAGCAGCAGGAGCAGATGAATTCCTAAGCAACTGTGAGTCTGGGGAGGGGGGGAGGTTCATGCAACTGTTCCTAATAATAAAACACCAGGCAGGAGAGCCGCAGAAGAGACAGGGTGTCTGCAGAGCTCGCTCCACAGGGGCGTTAAGGAAGCAGTTCAAAACATCACCCCAAATCTGCCAGTGCCCCCAGCACAGTGCTGGATGCACAGCCTCACCCCATGTATCGTCACCTGTGCCAGGAGAGCAGGGAGAGGTGTTGGACAAGACGTCAAGAAGTGTTTGGGTGCACAGCAATGAGAGAAATCACCGTAAGCCGTGCAGATTTTAGGAGAAATGAGCGGCAGGGTTGTAACAGCCTGTGTTTGGAGCCGTCGTATTGCAGCAATGGTGTGTTGGAAATGCTTCCTCTAGATCAGGTTCGTGGAGGTGGGGATTTAGGTACTGACATGCCTGCTGTGGGTTGAACATGGTAGGAGTCCCGTTAGTATTCCTGGTAGGCCTCCCTGCCGGGAGCAGGCAGAAGAGGATGACTTTGAGGCAGGGAGCAGGAGTTCAGCTGGGGCGTGGGGAAGACCAGTAGAAGAAAATGCCCTGAATCCTGATACTGTCAGGTTCTTTCCCCCCATCAGCACCATCCTGTGAATTTTTGTGCTACTCTAGCTCAGCCACGCCCCTGCGTTTGTCCTTGCCTTGCAGAACACGTCCCGACAGCCTGCGCTCGGGTGGATGCCCTGCGCTCCCACGGCTATCCCAGAGAAGCTCTCCGACTAACTGTTGCCATAATCAACACCCTGCGACTGCAGCAGCAAAGGCAGCTGGAAATCTATAAGCATCAGAAGAAAGGTATGAGTAGAGCTATGGGAGAAGTGTCCCTCAAGGTCTAGCTGGAGTGTCCCAGCTGGTTGAGAACGCTGCTCTCCGAGATGGAGAAGACTCTGTCCCATCCAAAGTGGCAGAGGTTGACAGTGGGCAGCGCTGTATCAAACTGATGCATCTGATCGCTTGAGCCAAACTGCGTTGGTACCCACCTGCTAAGGACAGAGAGGTGCCCACATGCTGTCTTGGGGCTGCTGGAGTAGGGGTGTTCTTGTTCCCACTGTTGCCATGGCTGGTTGCCTGTAGGGATTGCACAGGCGATGGTGGGTGATGCCTGCCTTAAAGAGGAGCAGGCTGTGTGTGCTACCTCCGCCTTGCATTCGCTGAGACAAGACCAGTGTTCCGCCTTTTGCAATTGCAGTTGGCAGAGCACTGGGGTCAGTTATTGCAGTCCTGCTGGTGGTTGGTGACTCCTGGGCCTTGCTAGCTCAGCCAACTTGAGATCATCCAAAGATGGAGCTTTTAAGACTCACTGGGAGTCTTTGTCATCTCCAGAGAGATTTCTGCTTGTGTTTCCAAAACATTCAGGCTACCATTGCAAGTGAGTCCATAAGCTGCAGGTCTGACTTTATAGACCCCATCTTGGGACTGTGCAGCCCCTTGTGTCCTCCTGGAACAGAGAACAAACTGCTGCATCTTATGTGGCTTTAGGGGCACCTTTTTTGTTGGGTGCCTGCTCCCTCTGATGTCTGTGGCAGCCTGCGAAGTGGCTGCTCTGAGCTGCTCCTTGCCCTCGCAAGCTACCATACCCAAGTTGGCCCTGGAGGTCCCCATGTCCCAGGCCTGTGGGGTAAGAAAAGGCCTTTGGTCTCAGAGACCTCTCTGAGTGCAGAACCTGTCTTTAACTACCTCACTTTTAATGTCTTTCTGTCCCATTTTCTTGCAGAGCTGCTGCAGCGAGGAGCAACAACCATCACCAACTTGGAGGGCTGGGTGGGCCACCCTCTGAACCCCATTGGCTGCCTCTTTCTCACCCTGACCGAAGCTTGTAGATTAGAAGAGGAAAATTGCCTTGAAATTTCAGGTACCAAGCGCTCTTCCTGGCTCCCTTCCTGTGGCTGCGGCTGAACTGAGCCCGACAGGCACGCCCTGGGTGCAGGTCTGGGGTTTGGGTCTCCTGGGCTCCAAACCTCCCCACCCAGGGCAGAGCTGCAGTGCAGAGAGGGGGACTTAGTGCCCTGAGTTTTCCCAGCCTTCAGGGTTTGCAGCCAGAGCTGGGCCAGGGTGTGCTGGCCCACACGAAGGCTCTGCCGCTTGGGAAGGCTCTTCTAACATTGCTGCATCTCTCCCCCTTCTTCCAGACGCTGGGGACTCCAAACCCCCAGTGTATCAACACGTGCCCGTTGCGACCGGCAGCCAAGACAGCGGCGAGTCCTACCTGTCCCTGGCCTTAGAGGTGGCTCTGATGGGGATGGGTCAGCAGAGAGTGATGCCTGAAGGTCTCTATGCCCAGGACAAGGTGTGCCGCAATGAGGAGCAGATCATCGCCCGGCTGCAGGACCTGGAGCTGGACCCGGTGCTGGTGCAGACCCTGCGGAAGCAGTGCATCTTGCTGCTGGAAGGTGGGGGCTTGGTCCACCTAGCTGGTTCCTGTGTCTTAGCTCAGTGCTGGTAACATCTCCAGGGTGCCCTTTCCAAGGTTTACGCCTGGCTGACCCCATCCTGACTTCTTCCTCTGTGAGTGTGGTGCTGAGTCTGTAGGATGGCTGCTCTGCCTTGTCATCTGGCAAAGCGAGGGTTTGCTGACATCCCTGGAGGGAGACCACCTTGGAGGCGTTACAGAGAAGGGTGCTAAGAACGTGGCCTCAGTTTCTGAGGGATTTTGACCTGACAGGGTTTTTGGAAAAGGAAAAAGCAGCCCTTTGCCCTGGATCCAACTTGCGTAATGCACCAGGGAGCTGCTGAGCAGATCATCAAAGCTTTGAGGTGGTGCAAACCCCAGCCACAGATTCTGCTGTGCTAATTATGGCTGATGGGCTCTGCTTCCGCCTAGGTGGTCCCTTCAGCGGCTTGGGAGAAGTCATCCACCGCGAGAGCGTCCCCATGCACACCTTTGCCAAATACCTGTTCTCTGCCCTGCTGCCCCACGATGCAGATCTGGCGTACAAGCTGGCTTTGCGGGCCATGAGGTTGGTGCATGTTTTATTCCGTCTCTGCCCCCCTGTTTTGCCTCCCTCCTCTGCTCCGCCGGGAAGCCGGGATGCTTTGCAACCCTAAAGCAGGGATGGGAGTGGAGGCAGGCTCGGAGCTTGCCATCCCTGGGATCATCCTGTGCAGCGTGTGGAGCTGCCTGGGCACCAAGCAGCAGTGCAAAGGGACTCCTGCTCTCTGTTTGGGCAATTCCTGGTTTTCAAATCCCATCATAGGGATTTCCATGGGCCTGATAATATCTGCTGGTCCAGCCCCCTGCCCAGCCCCTTGCCCTAGGCTGGACCACCACCTGCCCGTCCTGGTCACAGGTGTCCTCTGCCAGAGCAGGTCCCAAGCAGGTACGGAGCTGTCATCTGCCTTCTGTCTGTCAGGCCTCAGGCACCCTGCAGTCCTGCCCACAGGAAGGGTGGTTATCCCAGCGCAGATGGGCAGATGATTTGTCCTGGGCTCCAGGATGTCTCAGAGCCGGGCAGAGAACACAGTTGCACTCTGTTCTCCATTAAAGCCCAGCTCCGTCTCTGGGATTGGGGACAGAGCTGATGCTGAGAGCTGCCCCATCTCCCTCACCGGTGTGTGATGCACCTCAGACATCAGCCTGTGCACTGCAGTTTTTTGGCAGGGGCTGGATGGGCCTTGAAAAGGCTAGAACTTACCAAATGTATCAATGTATGAAGGACCATAAACCTCAGAGCATCCCAGTGCCCTCTCCCTCTGCCACCATCTTTCTTGCGGCATTTCCTCAGTGAAATGGGCCATGTCTCCTCAACGCTGAGGGAAATTCTGAAATCCCCTTGTCCTGGGAAGAGCTGCTCAGGAGGACAGCCAGACCTAAAAGAGCAGCCAAGGGCCTTTGCAGTGCGTGGGGACCCCATGTCGCACCAGACCATTCCAGCTGCCAAACAGAAATGGGACTGAGTGCCCTGGGACCCCCTGTGTCGGGGTGCCTCTGACCTGGGCTGGGAAGGTTGAGCTTGTGCTCCCCTGTGGGTACACCAAGCCTGCGAGCAAGGAAAGCAGAGATGGTTGGACGCTCTCCATGCCCGAGGGCATGATTTCCCTCCTGCACTCCTCGGCTGGCTGTCAAGTTAGTGACACCAGCACCAGCTCAGGGGTTTAAAAGCCAACATAGTTTTGTCACCATGGCCTGCGACGTGAGATTCCTGCTCCCCTTCCTTATGCTTCCTTCTCTCCCGGGTTTTCCAGGCTTTTAGATATCCCCACAAAAGCAGGTAACCCAAACCGGCTGCAGAGGCCCTGGGGAAATGTGCTGCTGCTTCTGATCACAACTGGGCATTTTAAGAAGAACCAGATGATAAAGCCAGGAGTTCTGCTGGGTGCTCTGACATGAAAGGAGTGAGAAGGGAGGAGGGATTTTGGTTTGTTGTTTTTTTTTTTCCCCTTTTCTTTTCTGAGACTTGTGCTTTTCCTTACAAGTTTATAAATCATTTCACGGATCATTCTCATCCTTTCAAGTTGGTTTCAGATTGATCCCTGTGCCCATGTGTTGAGCACGCAGCCTCGGGAGCTCCCACACGTGCACAGCAGCAGGATGCTTTCAAAGGCGGT